GTCAGCAGCTTCCTTTGGATGAGCCTCTGAAAGGTGACTGACCAGGTAACTGCTCTCGAGGAATGAAACAATGGAGTGTAGGGCTTGTAACAAACAAGCCAGTCTCAGTCACTTTGTTCCCCCAGGAGAACAACCTTTAGCACCTGAACACTAAGAATGACTTCATTCTCAGAACTCCCCCTCCCCCCAGGAGGTAGGTAAGATAATTTATCCCCATTTGGCAGCTGGGGAGGAAGTGAAAGACCAAGAGGTCATAAGACTTGTCTCGAGTCTTTGACAGAGCAGAGATCAGAGCTCAGAGGTTGAGACTCCTGACGACCGGCCAGGCCTCAGCCAGTTCAAATACATTTGTAAAGGAAATGCCAAGATCATACCCTGGGAGAAGCCTTGCCAGAGAGCTGGGGGGACGATACCCTGAGTTGCTCCAAGAGTCTAAAGACCCCTGAAAAACAAACAAAAAACCCACCCACCCACCTGAAGCTGGAGGGGGCACCCAATTCTCAATACCCAGTGGAATCCCACAGTCTGAGCTGATGCTAAAAGTTGTGAAGAAAACATGGGTTTAAGACAGAGGGGCAAATGCAACGAAGACTGAAAATGCTCTTTGCAGAGGAATACTCCACCATGAAATGAAATCTAGAAGACTTCAGGTATTGAAACATTCATTATCAAGACTACCCCAGAACCTCAGAGCTGCCGGTGAACGGGGATAGCTTGGAGAAGCCTGAAGGCTAGGAGAGGAAGTGGAATAAGGTGGGAAGACCTCTGTAAAAACATCAGGATGGGCACGGCCCAGCCCGGCGTATTTGCCCTGACCCGGGGCACAGTTCCCTTTCTTGTTTCTCCACCAAGCTGTTAAGCTGCAGAGGAGGGGACATGATTTTTAAAAAACAGAGAATATGACTGAAGGGGAAACCAGAGAGACTCCCTACACACCGAAAACTAGAAGTCTTGGTCAGAGAGGACAAAACCAATTTTGCAGAAGAGGGAAGGCAGTGCAGCTACAGATTAGGCCCAGGTCAAGACACCATGCAAAGGTTAGGGCAGCAGAAGGGTGGGGGCCGCACAGGCACTTAGGCACAACGTAGACAAACAGAGGAGGGGTGCAGGGGCTGGGGGAAAGGGTCCACTTGTTCTTTCAAAAGTCACCTTTACCAACTAGAGATTCAGTACAATTTCGAAGGTCTGGCAAGCCGGGTAGGAGGAGCTTTGTTACATCAGCTACCTTTCCAGAAGCCCTGCCTAGAGCCGGGTCAGCCTGGCCATCAGGTCTTTCTCCCTAAGTCCTCTGACTGGGTTCCTGCCAAAGCAGTCCTTCACTCTGGAGGGGCTTCTCCGTCTTCTGGTGCTAGAAGCCTTGTGGGAGGAACAGTGAGAAATGGGAAAGAGCTGAAGCAGGATCAAGCAGAGTCCTGCACATGAGTGCTCCTCCCCGACAACCAGCCACAGACATCTGTAACAAAACTACCCTTTAAAGTGCACAGCTCTCAAAAGAAAAGTTCTGGGTGAGAACCCTCTTATTCCAACAATGGGGCCTCTTGCCCTCCCACCACAAAAAAAGAAAGGAAAAAAACTTCAGACAGTTGAACTGCTACTATAAGCTGTGGATCACCATTTTTGGCTCTTTCTTTGCTCCCTCCCTCTGTCACCTGCTCCCAGAGCCTGATGTTTCCCTTGCAGGAGCTAAGGATGGGGAGAAAAGAACAGGGAGGCCCTGATATTTGGAATGTTTCTTATCTTGCATGTACCCCCTTCCTTCCTTGGCCCAGGCCTGCTGCCCCCCATCATAGCATCCTCTGGGGGTATCCTGAAAGGATGCCATGGGGTAATGAGCGACAGACCCTGTCTTGGGAGGCTGCCTTCATGCCTCCTCTTAACCCCGCCACCTTCACCCCAATCTCACTGCCAAGAGAGCCGTTCCCTGCGCGGGATGTGCAAATCCTCTGCCTGCTCACTGTGAGGCCCAGCTCTGGGGTAAAGCCCCAGTCCGATCTGGGAGAGAGGTTCATTTTCCTGCATTGGAACGCCCTTCGATGGACAGCTTTACCTCCTGTGGAATGAAAGAGGGACGGAGCAGCGTAGCCCGTGCCTCCTCCCCTTGCATGCTGTATCTTTGGAAGCTTGGGGCTGGCCAGCAGGCCTGAGCACCAGGCTCCGGCTGCGAAGGCTCTACCATTTGGGAGCCCTCGGCTGGAGGCTGGCTCTTCACCTCACTGTCACATTGCTCTCTGGGTCCCAAGACTGTCCTCTCAGGCCTTTCTTGGGGGGTACCCAGTTGGCCTGGGGGAGCACAGCTGGCCTGAGAAACTGAGTTACTGTTCAAGCTCTGTAAACTGATAGAGATGCAGACATCTCCCACCTGTAGCCGATGGCAGGGCAGAGAGAAGAGCTGTGCAGTCCTCCCAGGGCTGCAGGAGGACCAACCCTGGCCATATACAAAAAAGGGGTGCTCCGGGGGCACCTCGATGCTCACTTTGCTCTGCTGCTCACCAACCACGAAATGCAGCATGACAAATCCAGGCCACTGGCTCTCCTGAATGTCCACGACTGTGCTAGAGTCAATCTTCAGTCCCCCGCTCACTTCGGCACTGCGCACAAAATCCTGGGTCTGGAGGTCCTCCACCCGCTTCAGCTCCCCCGTAGCCAGCTGGATGATGGCGCCTTTCATGAAATGGGAGGGCAAGTGGGAAGAGGTAATGGGGGGTGGCGTTGGCTCCTTGTCTGGGAAGGTGGCTCTGGCCTGCATGTCCAAACTCGATGCCACCAGGATCTCCGAGCCCATGGGAAGCAGGCCTGGGTCAGTTCCAGTGGGCACCAGGTTGCCATTGGCTACAACCATTGCTTTGGGTAAAGGTCTGTGTTTCACTGGTTCCTGATGGGATTGAGGGTAGAAGCCTTGGGCCTGGTTTTTCTCGGCCATCTCCGCTGGGTTCCTGGCTGACCCTCGCCCCTCACCCTGATGGTCAGGGGTATGATGGGACAGGTTAAGGGGGCTGGGCTCATCTTTCCTCTGAGCTGCCACCACACGATAGTCCTGAGAAGCTAAAGCGCCAACCACCCGCTGGACCTCAAGGTCGGTGTCTGGGGTCCCTCGGTGTGCTGGCACCGCCACCTCCACCCGTGCAGTCTGAGAACCTGAAAACAATTGTCTATCCACCACACATTCGACCACTGGCACCAGTCCCTGGCCTTCGCCCTTGCTGCTGGGGGAGTCGAGGGCTTCACTCTCCCGTCTTACTAAATTTCGCTCTCGCTGTCTCTGTCCATTGGCAGCGGCTGCTTCCAGAGCAGACTGGCCCTCCTGAGGGGTGAGAACTGGGCTGGCACCTGCTGGAGGGGTTTCATGCAAGGTGTACCCAGCAGGTAGCCTGGACATCTGATAATAAATGGGCATCCGTCCTGGAGCGAGGTCCAGTGGCTGAGTATTTGAGTGATGTGACAACTGCCCAGGTGAGGAAGTGGCAGAGGGAGCTTTGTTGATTGAGTGGGCCGGGGATGAAGCCTGGGGAGGAGGAGTGGTTCCTTCTGCCAGAAGCGAGGCATATGGCACAAAGTGTGGAAGGTGAGAGGTGGCGAGGTTGGCAGAAGGGGAAAGGAGGGGACTCGGTAGGAAATTAGGTGGCACAGCATAGGGAAGGCTATAAGGAGACCCGATAAACTGCAGAGAGGTGGACGGGAGCTGAGTATAGTGGATTGGGGGATAATGGATTCCTGGATGTTGAATCAGTGAAGACGCTACATTAAATGTGGGGGGCAAGGGGCTCATGTTCACCACGGATGGGAGGCCAGTCGGAGAGAAGGTGGCAGGTGGCACAGCCACCTTATACAGCATACCATACTGGTCCACTGTCAGACCAGTGATGGCCTCAGCTCCGTCACCCCCCAGGCTGACTCTGGCTCCTGCCTGGCTCTGCCCAGCCACCACAACCCCTCGAGACCATTCAGAGGCATCACTGGAGGGTGTGTGGTTAGTTGAGCAGCTGGTAGTTCTCCCCATATCCTCGCTGGTCACGGGGAGGTCTCGTTTCTTTG